AGTTCTAGTTATATTACTTTTTGCCCTGCTCTCTTGGCCTATTAATCTAACCATGTTTCATTTTTTTCGTTTGAAACTTAACGCTGTGTAAGTAGAAACTACAAACAAGGTCACAAACAAGGTTTAAAGGTGTATCATCAGATCGACTTTGACTTGCTACTGGTGACTATAAAGAAATGCTATGCAGGTGAATGAGTGTATTAAGTGGTCAGCAAATTATGTACATCGCTGTTCATAATTACACAATGTGATCAGTGAGATACACACACTATTGCTATACAGTTTGTGAAATGTTCTTAAACAAAACAATGACAGCATCTGTGGTATAATATAGTTTGTATAGGATATTGCAGTTAATTGTAATAAAGCAGAGGAATAATTGTCTAATCCTAGATACTATGTAAAAATTCATCTGTGGAGTTACTTGCCCTTATCGTGTGCTCGATTGTATATTCATCCCGGTTTTTGAAGCTAGAGAATGAAAGTTATATATATATATAACTATATATAACTATATATGAAGCTAGAGAATGAAAGTAGATAGACACTCAGTGCAACGATTAAGCCATCTTTTCTCTAACAATTTAAATGCAACTGTTGCCACAACAACTGGACGGTAATTGGATTTATCACAGATATCACCACCCTAATCTTTGGGTACTGGGACTGAAACAGTGGCCATAAGACGTGTAGGAATAATTCCATGAACAAGTATAGCGGTAAAACAAAGGAATAATAATACATACAGTCTAGAGGGCGCAAACCTAAAGTGTTCAGAAATGATACTATCAATGCCGGGAGATACACCCAGTTTCAGATTTCTAACCAGATCACAGAGTTCACTCTGATGAACCACCATGTCTTCACAAAACTTACTAGTTGGAATGACTGGTGTGATGTCAATATTTTTTTTCCACATCTCAGCAACTTTCACGTCACCTGCACATCCACCCACCGACGAGGGCGCTGGAGCTTTACATGTATGCTTTATTTCTGTCCAGTAGCCATTCGGGCCATTTTTAAGCTTTTCTGCTAAGGTATTCGCACGAAATTGCTTCTCAGCTTTCTTACAATTAGCAAGTTGTCGCTTGAACTGTGCTCTAGATCTACGCGTTATCTCAAAGAAAGGGTCAGATTTCGGAGAACCATTATCTTTCAAAATCAGGGAGTCAGTTCGTGCTTTGTCGTGAATATCCTTGATATTACAACCTGGTACAACATTCTTTTTGGAATAAAGAGCACATGGAATAGACTTT